AACATGTGGAGAACTTCAGCATTTGTCATCTCTGGTAAATTATGTACTCGATTTTATTCAGAAAATCTATTCCTGCAGTTGCTGGAATGAAACGAACAAATTTAGGGGTTCAACTGATGACCTACAGTGTTAGACAAGCTCAGGCAAGCAGGTTTGACAGCAAAACCAAGTACACGTAACTGTAAATTCAGGAACCATAAGGTTTCATATCTTGGATACCTTATTGAAAATGGCAAAGTGAAGCCACACTCAGAGAAAGAAAAGGCAGTGGTTGAGTACCCAAGGCCAATAACAAAGACATATACATGTATGCTCACTCTTAGGACTTGCAGGGTATTACCACGTTTTCATGAAGTTGTCTAATATTTGGGGCATTATGATGTAGTGTCTACACCTTCACACGCTGCACACAATCGCCCGCTTGGTACCGTCAAGTGAACACAGCTTGGGTTCCTGAATTGCACCCTTACCATTATATCTAAAGTCAAAGAACCACCAATCGTGACCCGACTACTGCACATGCATGCCGCGTGGAAATGTATGAAAGGTTTCCGGAAAGTGAAAAAATGACAATTTGTCATTTGGATGGTCCTAGAAGCCAAACACTGGAAACAAGCAGAGTTTTTTGTAAGTCCAGATCCAAAGAAACACCCAGAGATTTGTAAGAAATGGCTTCACAACATGAGGAAAGTTAAATTCGACTTTAAATTGTTGGTGCCAAGTAAGGTGTTCGTAGTCTGTGAAGACCACTTTGAGCGGGACTCCTTCAAAGAAAATCGGCAGGCGGAACTCCTGAGTTACAAATCTTAAGTGAAGAAACTGAAACCTGCCAACAGTTTTTCTTTGAGAAAAAAATTAAGCGCCGTTGAGAAGGACTTTTTCAAAGGCCTTTCAAACATTTAATTTTGTTATGACACAGTGCGTACGTGAAAAAGTGAGCGTGCACTGTGAGTGATCAGCGGAATGCACATGCTGAATGTTTAGGCTGGTACCACTCCATGCTACAACAATGCATAATGCCATAGCAAGCGTCTGGGTACATGACCGCTATATTACATTGTGTATTCTGCAAGTGTTGCGTGACATAAAAAATCCTGCATGTGGTGCGAATTTGAACAATATGGCTGCGCTCATGAGTGTTTTTTGGTTTTTTTTTTCGTTTTTACAGGAACAGAGGAAATAAACAAATTTCACAGCTCGAAAATGGCTAATGAAAATTTGATGAAGTACAATGTATATATGTAAGATGACTGAATTACTAAAGAATTCCATCAGATGTTTCTTTTCCATCACCATGATCACAAAAGCTCACTGTCAATCAGTGTTGGGCCTTGAACAATAAGCAAAACTAATTTGAAGACGGAAACATATACAGTACATGCTATGGTGCATGTAGTACTTGCAGATTTGTGAGTGTGCTTCACACTCTGGTAGTACATTGGTAGGGACATGTAGGCCTAACGTAATAAGAATAGAAGTTAAATTCCAGGGTTGTCTGATTTAAATCACCTTGATTTATATCAACAATTTACATGTAAATTGCAATTTAAATCAAATGATTTTAAAAAAAAATCACTGATTTAAATCAATACATGTATATTCAATTTTTGGGGTAAAAAGGCAAAAATGTTTCAATGTTTGAATTTTTTTGGAAATTTGGAAATGTTCGAAGGTTTTGCATATTTTAAACTCATTTTAAATCTGGGATTTTTTAAGTTCAGTTCTGTCTCTAGTTTCAATTTAAATCAGGTGTTTGGATTCAGTTAGTGTGTTTGATGCAAAGGATTTACAATCATGGTTTAATTTTACTTCTTTTAAATTTACCCACTTCAGAGTTTAACCATAGAGGAAGGACACAGGAGTTATAACTCTGGCACTTCAAAGTGCTAGATGAGCAATGCCGCCAGTCAGACAAACAACAGTAAACATTCCAACAATACCTGATTACTGCCTGCAGCTTAGCCATTCAAGTGGGACAAGTAATATCCTAGCTATATTTTGTGTGTTTTGTTTGCAATTAACTTCAACTTATTGCCGTGACCAGGAAATAAAGAGCGAAAATCTCTAACATTAGATCTACTTTTACCATCGTGAAAAACTTTTTACTTTGATACGCTGTTCCATTATCCATGCAATGTCTATAATTTTATTTTATCACTCCAAAACATCACTTTTCGTAGTCTATAATATGAATTTGGCTAAGACTGGCCAAAAACATGTTGAACACCACTTGACAGATAAGTTTATAACAAACAAAATGCACTATTTCATCACAAGGAGTGCTCATGAGATACTTTTTTGTATACATGCCGTAATAAAAGTGCTTCAAATAAACCACGACATCTTTTAAACAACTTGGCTAATCATTCCCAAAACTCCAGAAGAAAGCATTCGATAAGGGCAATGACTGCACATAAACACTAAGGGCACACAGCCTAATACAAGCAACTGAGAAAACATTAAAGTTGATATTGTTTTCAGATCATACCAAGCACCGTCAATGGCATGAATATTCAACTTCCGAACTGCAGTGCACAACGTTTTAAGGATGCAGATTACCGGTGAAAAATTGAAGTGATGATCATAGGGTGCAAAGGGGGTTTATGGTTGTGAAACAGGTGATGTGTAGCAAGCATTCACTGTGCTCTGGCTATGGACATACCAGACATACATGTACCAGAAACCAGTAATTGGTCAGAAGTTATAGCCAAGGCAGTTTGAACTCCTTCTACAGTGTATGTCCCTTCTCCATGGTTTAACATGGTAAAGTATCAGTGTACTGTACAGTACATCAACCTTTTACATCTCTTAAAGTACAATGTACATGTATACTGTATAAATGTAGTTTATAGAGATTAGAAATGTTGGTCATTATAGTGCAACTAAAACCACTAAATTCATGTCCTAAAGTGATTTTTAATCAAGCATAAATCATTGCTAAGTGGAGCTGAATCACAAACAAATGAGACTGCTTTTTGCACATACATGAAGTGCAAGGTAAAATACCAGCATTTTGTACAGGTTTACACATACATGTTTAACATGCAAAATAAATGCATGTACCTGTTGTTTCTCGCTCATTACTCATTTGATGCATACATGTACTGTATGTGTAAGTACCCTATTAACAAGTTCTTGTGAACTCTACGTTTGTCAAACATAAGCGTTTGGTTTAAAAGCTGATATGCACTTCATCTTTGGGATATGTGTACATGTACATGTATGTACTGTACTTGTCTCTGAAGGAAGTGTTGTCTATGCAGGTACAAGTACCAGTAGGTGTTATACTGGTACTTCACGCATTTCACCAAGGCAAAGGTACCTGTATGGTGGTTTGTGAATCTAATCAAATTACTTGATTTCTTAATTTCAATCCATTTTTTGTCACAAAACAAATAAGTACAACAAAACTATTACACATGCAGCTAATTTGCTTGCTTTGAATAGACATTTGAGCTAACTTGTCTCAAATTTTCATAAAAAGTTTGATTTTAATCAAACACATCTGATTTAAATTTTAAAAAATCACAACCCTGGTCGTAATGCTATGGGGATTTGGAATAGAATTTTTGTGGTGAAATGGTTCACAGGTATAAGAAAGCTACATGTATTTAATCAAATCTTTCCCTTCGGCAAACCTAATTAACTTATACCTCTTAAAAAGTGAGATAACAAAGTTTCAGAGCATGAGACGGGGTATTTTTGAAAAAAATGTGAGATTTTTGCTCACCAATTTCTTATTTCTACCAGTTGACAGTCACTCCCGTTCATGCTGTTCCATTCATGTTTATCAGACTGTGCATGCGTCCAACCCACCGATGACCGCACTTGCTCCTCATATTGGTTGGGCCATTTTGGTGGCGGAGGATGATATCTCATGTTGTTTTCATTGTGGGACCGTCCTGGCTGATGCTGGACCTGGAAACACCCATCGGTCAGGACGTGCAACATGTGCTGTGCTGTATAGTGGTGCCAGATTGCAAGACTTAAAAGTCCCCCTGCCACCGAAAACAGTCGAACCAAGACACATAGCAAGCGCGGTCATTGGTGGGCTCGACGCACGCGCAGTCTGATAAACACAAACAGTAAGAACGGAATGACAGTCGAAGGGTGGAAGCAAGAAATAGGTGAGCAAAAATCTCACTTTTGTTCAAAAATGCCCAGTCTCATGCTCTGAAACGTGGTTAGGGACATTCATGAATGAGTGAGGGCGCTGTTCATTTGGAAACTAATGTTCTTAAATCTGTCTTTCATGTCTTTTTCCATACACTCTACTCTAGCACCTCTATTTCATTTCCATTTTCAATTTTTTTGAAATTTTAAGTGAAGCCAACATACAAATTATTGAAATAAGGCACAAATAAGAGCAAAGATTTTATGAAAATATGGATTTTAAGCTTTTCAGTCAAAATCAACATACACTTTACATTTTTGCATAAAAAAAAACAGAGTTTGCTCTGCACTACTCATGTACATTTGTAGGGCCTACAAAAAATGTCTCAAAACATTTCAAAATACCCCTACTTTAAATCTGTATTTCTTTGCTTTACAGGCACCAATGAATGTCAAATGTACATGTATGCATATCAAAATGTTTCTTAATCTTATGATCCTCTCCAAGATCATGTCAAAAAGAACTTCGAAAAATTTATGAGCCTCCCTAACTTTGTTATCCCACGTTTTAAGAGGTAGGCCTATACATGTACATGTAGATTAATAAGGTTTGCCGACAGGACCAGGCCTAATTTGATCTAAAAGCCTTCCTACACCTGTGAATCATTTCACCACAAATATTCGATTTAAAAACCTCATAGCGTTACGACACCAATAAACCGTGTTGGCTCGAAGTCACACAGACTATGTCCATGACGGAGTGACTGACGAAGTCTGATTTCTAAGTAGGCCCTAGTGGCTGGTGCAGTTGCGGTGCGGGTACTACTGGTAGCCTAGGCCTAAAGTGACTAAAGACCGGCAAGCTCTGCTTCATATTTGTATCTAACCTTTAGGTGGTGTCCAGCTAGTGTGGTTTTTGGATTTCTGAAGCATTAGATATTGTATTTCTTGTTTAAACTGTCGAAAAACAAGCAACCCACCGGCTTTCACTATGTCAACGGACGCCATCATGAAAATGCGCCCTCCACAGGTAGGCTTGGTATTAGCCCCAGACTAGGGGCCAGTCTACTGGACTACCTCCGTTTAAAGGCGTTTATCCTTGGGTTTCAACTACACCATTACTACGCGCCCGTGGAAAACAGTGCAAAATCGGACCGACTCTCATGAAAAAGCTGGCCTCCATTTTTTCACTGGGAATTCAAGATTACGGCCAGAAGATAACTTTTCGTTTCAGTTCATGGGGGTTAGCCACGAAAAAAAAATAAAGCGATTGAACAAAGATACCCCAAACGTATAAAGCAGTTTAACTAAGCGCTCATTTAAATGTAGCCGCCCGCCTCATTCCAAAATAGGTCCGCAATTGGAAACTATCAGTCCTAAATTCAGGATTCATAAAAATATTTCTGTGATGCCTCCTGATTATGGCCTGTCTTATTGTAAAAATCCCTGGGATCACAGAATATTGTAACGTGAATGTCTGGTGACCTTTTAAACTCCAGAGGAATGGCAGTGGGGTTGACCAGACTGATGCACTTAATTAGGTTTCGAGTAAGTTAGCCTAGTTTGGAAACGGGGGGCCGTCAAGTAGTGTTCAGTCAGGGGTATGGAACAAAGGGGATATTGGTGTAACTGTCAGGGGATTAGGCAACGTGTTTTCGGTGAGTAAATTATGTTGTGGAAAGTGGGAAACTGAACTAATAAGACTGCCATGATGGAAAAAGGGGGAGAGTTTGACAATATCCGGAGTATGATAAAATTTAGTAAATGGAAGAAAGGTTGAAATGGGTATTGTGGACCATTGTTTTGAATTTTTGTACTAAGATGATGGTTTCATGACTGTGGAAAACAGGGCCCGGGGAGGGAATTAAATAATGGTAGAATTGGGAAAATTAGTCAAGTCTAAGCCGAGCTGCCGAGGAGTTCAGATTGGATCATGGGGACTGACACAACTTTGGTACAGTGGGATTTAGTTAACGTGTAGACGCCGTTGTGACTGCACCATTAGCTTATCTTGGATTGTGCATAAGGATTGGGTACTGACGGGACGTTTGTAACTAATTCATCACGGTGAGTACATGAACCGGTACTGTACCTTTACTTAATTTTGTGACAGCGTATCTCGGTACGGCGAGGGGTGCGCAATGGGTCCTCATGCCCCCTCCTTGCTGTTTGTAAATGTTTAGCATTAGTTTGACAGGGTACCTCACGCGTTGAGGAAGTGAGTGGAAGTGAATAAACCAGCTAGAAGTAGATGGTATCACACATACCTTTGCCGGCATGCCATTTCGTTCAGCGTCCCTTATCCTTGGTGTAAGGGGCGGTATATTTCCACCCAAACGGATCCAGGCTCTGGCCAAATCACGCGCGAGCGTGATGGTAGAGACGAGTTGGAAAAAGAAAAAGGAGTTGGCTTTGGAAGGGGAAAAAAGGTGGGTTTTCGTAATGGCGTCTTGTGAACCTTAAGCCACGCCGGTTGGTGCAGATTGTTTGCCTCCTCCCCTGCGACTTCGGGAACGATTATCAATGTGATTCCAATCAAATCTGAATTACAATAAATCAGCACATCTGAAGCTACTAGATGCCTGCTTCTCAGGAGTATTACTCTGGTGTTTTTATTCGTCACAAGTGAGACCAGACCCGGTTGTTAAGTCTAACATGTTGACTACGTGCATGTCAAGCTGAGCACCAAGCAGCCCAACCCCGCATACATGTGCATAGTACTGTTTTGATGGTAATAAAATAGCGTTCACATGTTCACTTGTAGTACGTGGTTGAAACTGCCCTTAGATGTATCACCATGTTACAATAGCACATGTTGTATTGCTACCTATGTTTAATGCACGGATTGACCTTCAA